CATTAGCACCTCTAGTAATATATTTACTGAGAAAAATGGTGACGTGTTCAATACTTATTTTACCCGCTGTATATGAAGTATAACATTAGGGATATCATTTTTCTTTAATGAAATATAAATATCTAATTATTTAGTGAAACATAATACAGTTTTGACTTGCTTGTATTGAACCAGCACCACTGTAGAGTGAAATATAAACTCGTGAAATTAAATGCAACCTTAACTGCAAGAGAAAGAAAAAAAAATACAACATTTTTGTGGCTACTGAATCCAAACTAAAATACAAATCTGAGACACAAATGAAGAAATGCTCAAAAGAACAATAAAATAACTGTAACCACATCTGCTGACCCAGTCTCTAAGAAGAAACAAACCCGTAAACTAATTTTAAAATCCCCTTTAGCTAAAGAGAAGCAAAACTGATTAAAATGATTACCAGATTTTTACTTTTTATTTCAATTCTCCCATATGAAATGTAAAAAAACTAACACTGGACATTTTAATATCATGATCCTAAACACAAAATAACCTAGATGCCCTCAGAACATGAGAAAAACAAAGCTAAAAACAACTTGAAAGAAAATAACGAGTTTATGGAACTATTTTAACCTTTAATTTACACTTTAAGCAGCCTCATAAAAATGAGCATATCCATAAAGGCAGTGAGACATAAAAAAAAACTTCAAACACAACTTTAAATTAAATCCAACTCTGCTAGAGTTTTGCTTTCTATGTTTTTCTTTCAATAGCCTTAAATTTTTTCCTCTTGTATCACTTTAGGTGRAGCCCTGTGACTGCGAGAAGACAGGAAGAGAGGACAGCTGGACGGAGATGTAACGGTGGAACAAAGCTGCACAACTTGTCACCAAGGCCACCATTTGCTGCCCAAGCAGTCACATAAATACGAGCACACGCCCTGCTTCAGACCACATCTGACAGGCAGCTGCTGCTGCCCTCACATTAAGGACATACTTCCTCTGCAGAACGTGGATATAAAAAGGAAAACTACTTCGAAACGAAGCGAACAATCATGCGACCAACAGATTTAATAAAAACGCAGTTGAGACACATCACATGTTTAATACTGGATCCAGTCTTATTTGGTCACAGGAGCTGTGGGTGTGTGTGTCTTCACGGGTGTTGTGTCTGTGGTATGAGCTCATCATCACGCAGATAACTGGGTGACTTCAYTTGATCTGATTATGTGGACAAGTTTGGCCTCTTCTTCCGATAAACCAGAGACAGTTGACAGCTTTTCCTCAGGGTTTCTGGTCCCACATGGTTCACAAATAACCGAGATTACAATCTTTAGCTGCTCTATTTTTACATGACACTCAAAGGTTTTAAAAGGTTTTGTGGCYAATGATCTCACTTCATAAGAACTACATTCAACATTATTTGTGTGCATCCTCTTCTAATGCAGCATTTTAATGACAACTACTGTTTTAACTCGGCCGCAACATGAAAGTGATTTAGCATCATTTTTACTGCATTTTGTAGTTATTGCCCATTTTAATAAAAATTTAATTCGATTAACAAAATATCTCATGAAACACTAAATTTCTTTTAATGCAACTGAGAAACAACAAGTGATTAACTTTTAGAACCTGATTCATGATGGCTGCCACAACCAAACAACATTTGCAACAACTTAATGGTGTTAAATCTGTCAATTTCACACACACACACACACACACACACACACACACACACACACGCACACACGCACGCACRCACACACAATTTTAGTAGAGAGTCATCCCTAACACATCCTTTGATTTAATAAATGATTAATGTTAAAAGTAAGCAATTAAAGTGTGTTACTTTCACAATAAAAGCTTGCATTAACCAAAGCCACTGCAGGTTTGATTTATCATGACCCAGAAGTTTTATTTGTCTCAAAAGATTGACAGGAGTTTATTCTAAGTCTGCTGTGGAWTGTGAATAATTCTTCAAACAACATTTAGAGGAATTTATGATGGTTTAAGGCTCAAAACTAAACAGCTTCAAGACATGCAGGTAGTAAATCAGAGTATCTTAGCAGAGAAGCACCTGCTGAGATCAAGGTGTGATGAAAAAACTGAGTTAAACACATTGCAAAAGTTAAAAACTTCAACTTAATGTTTCTACTTCGCACTTGTGCTTTACATTTGTTTATAGTTTCTAATGATTTGGTTGCTGTTTTAAATACAAAACCCTTTAAAGTTATTCAAAATTTTCCCACATCATTTCAGATTTTTCATTACGAAGAACATCAYCAAGCCCAAATGAAATGTTTAATCATTAAAAATATTTACAAATGTAAAATTAACAATCACTAYTGATTAATTACTGGATGTAGGTGATCATTTATGAGTTTAAAAATAATGGTACTGATGTTCCTCACAAAATCTTATCCACTGGTTTAGTAAATGAATTTGTATTTATTTGCTGATCAAACTCACAAAAAAACACATTAAATTATAGACATCATTTTTTCTTAGAGGTTTTTAGGAAATACCTAAAGCAACCCACATGTTTGGTACCTTATCATGCAGGGGGAAGTCATAACTGAGCTAAAAGTGTCAAACTAGGGAAATTCCTGTAAACACACACATTTCATTAAAATGTTGCATCAAAGTGGCTTTTAAGGCTGTTTGAGCAGAAGTAAGGTTAAAAGGAGAAGTTGTTTAAGCTTGTCAAGAATACAAGCTACAGTAGAGCTCATTTAGGGAAACACAATTCGACTGCGAGCCCAAGACAGAAGACACTAGACCACATTGATGGACCCTGAATGGAAACCCCCACTGCTGCCACAAACCGTACAGTACTACAGCATACACAGGCCCGTGCTTTATAAAACATTCATT